AATACAGTTTCACACTGTTATTTAGGTCTGATGAAACACATTATCATAGAATCTTAGAATTGTAGAATGGCCTGAGTTGGAAAAGACTTCAAAGACCATCTAGTCCTAACCCCTTGCCATAGGCAGGAACACCTTTCACTAGACCAGGTTGCTCAGAGCTCCATCCAAACTGGCCTTGAACACTTACAGGGATAGTGTTCTCTGGAATAACTTCCCTGGTCAACTTGTTTTCTCTCTTCTGTTTTCTCTTTTCCTCACTGCTTTCTACCCAACCAAAGAAAGCAACACATGATCACTAATTCACTTCCCAGCATTCTGATGCTATCAAAGGTGCTAAAGTGGAAGCTTACTGTGTATACAAATAACACTTGAATAGAAAACTCAAAGTGAAGATACCCCATCAGTCCATAAATAATTTCTTGTAAAGTTAATAGGTTAAGTTAGAAGCTGCATAGTGTCAAGTCTTTGACGTTTTACTGTATACATCCCATTTCACAAACAGTTTCCTTGGTTTTCTGTCTCTTTTCTAAATACCAAATTGAGCAACAGCCTCAAAGGTAAAATGCCAGTAGTTTAAAGTAGACAAGCTGCCTAGGTAGTACCAGGTGGTACTGAAGCTACCAGTAACCTTTGTTATTTTAGATAAACAAATGATGCCGTAAGTATTCTGCCTACAGTTTTGAATTAGATTGCCATTTAAGAAATCTCATTAAAATACTCAGCTTATGTTACAAACTCTACTAAAATTGATGACAGCACAACATTCTATATCTAGGAAATTGTTTCTATCTTTTTCACCTTATTCTGTACAGAAAGTATCATGCTTCCTTCAAACATTTCTTTGTACCAAAAGTATCTCTTAAGAGCAATGAAGGTCTAACTCCAGTATTGAGGACAGCACTATAATTTCTCATTAAAGAAAGAAACACTGTCAAGTGAAAGCAAGACTTTCATGTAATATTTCAATAGCCTCTCCCTTTCTAAAATTTAATTAACATTGCAATTAAAGAAGTGTTATTCAATGTTGGCTAAAAAAGCCTACAGTTTTTCTGTGTTTAATAACTACAAAATAATATTGCTGAGCACATGAAAATTTTTTCTTTCAATAATTTGTTTTTCCTAAAGCTTATAATTAGGGTATTACTTACACATTTTACAGATCAAGAGGGATTTCAGGCAGATAAGATTTTCAGGTGGCTTTCCAAGATTCTTTCCTGTAGAAGACGGTAAATAGGATAATGCAGTTTATGGGTTTGAGTATGTACTGATACTTTTATCTTCTCCTTCATTCTCACTATATTTTGTAGGTAGCTCAGACTTCCTTCCCTCCTCAGCTTTGGAGTTTTGCTTTTCCTAATATGAGGATCACCTGATTTTGGAGTTAAGATTGTTTAAAGTAAGTCAAGTCCTGTGACTGCACTCAAAGAGAGATACCTTTTTTAATTACTTCACATTTATGTATTTCAAAAGGATTGTGTCAGTGACTAGCACTGGTCACTGTAATAGAAAACTACATTAAGTGTTTACATGAACATATGATAAAAATTCTACGTCACAGTGCATCTGTAGCACTTTCTTAGTTTTTCTTATACTACTATTGCTTTTTAACTCAGGCCTTGGAATACCAAAGATGGAAAGAATAACCATTATATATTTTCAAATTTGACTAGATCAATAAACACACCAAAAAACATTCATTGTCACATACTGAACTTTGAATTATATGCAGAGTATTTAGGCAGAACTTTCTGGATCTGCACCATAAACTCTAATCTCTTTTCCTAGCAGAACAAAGTCCACTTCCTTTGCTATCAGCTATGCAACACTTCTAAAGTATTCTGAAAAGAACATGAGTATCTACTAATGGGTAATTTAATTTGAATGTATGATTTGATCCCTGTTTATCTAAATTGGATATTTTGTTCTTCCTATATCCAAGGCTATTATTTAATATGGATGAAAAAGATCTTTTTTAAAAGGACTTTTCAAATACTTAGAGGATATAGTTAAATGTGAATGTAACCCAGGAATAAGAATTGTTTTAAAACAAAACCAATCACAAAGCAAATTTTTCCAATTTGTTGCTTGTTTTTTTTGTTGGTTTTTTTTTTTCTTTTTTTGCTGATGTAGCTTTGCTGAAGATTGCTCTTTTAAAAATGAAATTTCAGTGGATAACTAAACTTTGAAAATGAGTACACAGGTCTTTTTTTATTGGTCCTTTCACATGAAATAAATAAATACATAACATCACAAGACCAGAAAGAAACAAAATCTAGTAACAATGCTATATTTATCACAATTGGGTTTGCACTTTTATTTCTTACATGTATGATATTGAAATTATATTCCTTTTTTTCCTTTTGCCTTACATTACCCTCTGGACATAGGGCCCTACTTTAACAGTTGGGTTGCTGGACACCCCTGTCTCTTGTGTCTTTTCTTGTAATATTAATTAACTCATGTCCATGGACAGTGGATAACATGACAGCTTGTGTCTTCATCCTACCACTATGGGCCTGATTCTTTCTCAGTTAAAGGATGTATTTCAGTCTGCCAGGGATTTCCAACGAAGCTCAGATCCAGTAGTGCCCATATCTTAGAGATACCTCTGATCAGATGTCCCTGGACTGGCGTTTTGGGTCTCTTTTTACCCATGTCTTTTTTCCTCTGTTTAGATTTTCTGCAGTAAAGGCTGAAAGAGCAAACTGCAATTTCACTGTTAAACTTGACTGCCAGAGAATTGAATAAGGCTGTACTTATCAAGTCTGCTTATTCCTAAAGTCTCAACATCCTCATTGTAACTGGTGAGCTGCACTGTACATCATCTCAGTAACTAATCCAGGCTGAATTAACTTCACAAATTTACAAGATTAAAGTGACTCCAGCATTTACTGTATGATATAATTTTTATTCTATCTAAATAACCTTTATACTAAATTATTTATCATCTTGCATTGAATTCACATGTGATATTACAATATTATTTTCTTGAGTGTACTCTATACTATATATTAATATAGGCAGTCATATATTTTCAGAGAATATACACTGTAGTATATACGCTGTAGTGTATACATTGTGTTGCCTACTTTATTTACCCTTCCTGTCTTCCAATTGTAGCAATTGTTGCTACTAATTGTAGCAACATATTCTTTTGCAATCTGTAGTGTTCAGAAAGCTTCAAAGCGTGTCATAGCTAATCACCTGCATTCACTAGGTGAGGCTGATCTGGACCATGAAACTCCACGGGGACATGCAGAGCCCTGAAAACTACTACTGCACCAACTGTATCTCTTTGGGCAGAAGTTTGTGTCAAGTAAAAGCCACATGACTGTTCCCAAAGACTATAGTTACATTATCATGATTACATAACATATAGTTAACATTACATTACATTGATAGGTTACATTACCTGTCAATATGGTACATAAACCTGAGCCTTAAATTATAAGACTATTCCATGAACAACATCAAAGATTAAGAAATTCCATTTACATAATTGATCATCATTCTTCAGCTAAGGAGAAACAGAGAATTGATAGCAAAATATAATAAATAGGTTTTCATAGTCCAGTACTGGGGCTGAAATAAAGACAGGATGTGGGGCCTATTTTTTTTTAACTAAAACAGAGGTTTTCCTATATTAATCACTGAATTTAGAGACATTCAAATGCTGATCATCAGATCACCAGACAGTCTAAATATACTTTCTCTTTAACACTGCTGAAGTGTAAAAACCTGGAAAAGTCAACTATAATTTAAGTGGCCATTACTGACTTATTTGCTGTCATGAAATCTGGTATAGAATCCTGTGTTTAAAAATGAAATGTCTGGGCATACTGTTGACTGCACATGAGCTAGCAGTGTGCCCTGGTGGCCAAGAAGGCCAAGGGCATCATGGCCTGTGTCAGGAGTGGTGTGACCAGCAGGAGCAGGGAGGTCATTCTCCCCCTGAACTTGGCACTGGTGAGGCCACACCGTGAGTGCTGTGTCCAGTTCTGGGCCCTCAGTTTGGGAAGGACATTGAGTGCTTGAGTGCATCCAGAGGAGAATAAGAATAATGAGGCTGATGAGGGGCTTAGGACACAAACCCTGTGAGAAACGACTGAGGGAGCTGGGGGTGTTTAGCCTGGAGAAAAGGAGACTCAGGGGTGACCTTGTCACTCTACAACTCCCTGAAAGGTGGCTGTAGTCAGGTGGCGGTTGGTCTCTTTTCTCCAGGCAACAACTGACCGAACCAGAGGACAGAGTCTTAAGCTGCACCAAGGGAAATATAGGTTGGATATTAGGAAAAAGTTTTTTACAGAAAGAGTGATAAAGTACTGGAATGGTCTGCCCGGGAAGGTGGTGGAGTCACCATGCCTGGATATGTTTAAACAAAGACTGGATGTAGGACTCTGTGCCATGGTTTAGTTGAGATGTTAAGGCATGGTTGGACTTGATGACCTTAAAGGTCTCTTCCAACCTAGTGATTCTGTGTGTCTGTGTTTCATTGTTGGTGAGTATATAATTGTAAATAACCAATTAAACTTGATTTCATAAGTACTAATCATTTGTAGCCACTGAAGTAAGAAATTGCTCAGATATCCTGAAATTTTAAGTCACTGCTACATAACTGAGTTACGTAACCTCCCTCAAAGGTGCATGGTGTACATTGATGTCTCCTGGCAATCCTTGCCTGTGGTTACAGAACAGCCACTCCTTCCTGTAACCTAGTAACTTTTCAATAGTCAACATCAACTCAGAGTTTCTCAGCTAGAGTTTGGTTTGTGGAATACAGTACTTTTAAAATTTCTGTTTAGGCAAGAAATGCTAAACAGTGTAGTAGCCTGAACCAAGGTCTACAGCTTGTGAAAGAGTTTGAGCAAAAAAAAAAAAAAAAAATTGTAGTAGCATATTCTGAAAATAAAATGGATATAGCTGAAAGTAAGATTACACTTGCAGGGAAATCAGAACAAGTCCTAGGAAAAATCTCTTACCTGAACTTTCTAGCAAGAGACATGTTTCTGAAAAGTGATCTGGATAAAGGAGGTTTGGAGGAGTATGTGCTTGGACTCACCTCTTTAGCAAAAGACTTGAGCAGATCTCTCAGCCAGCAGCTGGGGAATGTTACAGAAATTATTCAAGACACCTGCCACTTGCTGAGTGCTCTCCATGATAAACCCAAGGAACTGACTGGAAGTCCAGGCAAGTATGGAAAGACTTATCTGTAAACAGGCTCACTGGGTATGTCAGATGCTGAGTTCTGCTGTCTGATGATGCTGGGGGACCTTAATTTTCATTTGTTAGTATTTCAGTGCTTGGTAATTCATTTGACTAAATTAATTCATATTCTCACAGTTGTATCACATGGGTTTTGAGTCCATTCCATGAGATTCAATATGAAACTCATAATTCTCATTCTGCAACCAAAAAAATTATTAAAGTAAAATTAACTAAACAGAATTGTTCAAAGTTTGATATACACTATACTTTAGGGGGATTATCTTGGCCAGACACCAGATGCCAACCCAGTAGTAAGTTACTGGGACCCAGTAACTTACTATCCCCTCTTCAACAGGAAAAGGAAAGAAAATAAGATGGGAAAAAATCCTGAGTTGATGTAGAGAAAATCACTTGAAATTACTATCATAGGCAAAATAGATTTAATTTAGGGAACAAATTTATTTAACTTATTTTCAATTTAAATATATTTGAATAGTGAGAAGCAAAGGCAAAACATTGAAACAAATCCTTTCCTCCACCCCTTATTTTTTCCATGCTGAAGTTCACTTCTTCATTCCCAATTCTTTTACCTCCTCACCTTCCTGAGGAGTGCAGGGCAATGGCAAACAAGAGCATCAGTTTTTCCCTAACAGTTCCCTATACACACCTTCCTGGAAAGAAAACTAAAATTTCTATCTAAGGTCTATCAGCATTAAGCCTCAAAAGAAGAGTATCCAACAATCAAGGAAGGAGATTCTCTCTCTCTACTCCACCCTAGTGAGTCCTCGCCTAAGTACAGCATAATGGTCTGGAGTCTCCAGCACAAGGATGTGGACTTGTTGGAGCAGGTCCAGAGGAAGGCCATGAAGATGATCAGGGTATCTGTCCTCTTAAGAGAGTCTTGAGAAGGCTCTGGGGATACCTTGTTGCATCCTCCTAATTCTTAAAAGGGCCTTTTGAAAAAGAGGAAGAGTGATTTTACATGGACACTATCACATATAATGCAAGAATAGGAGGGAAGAGTTTTAAAATAAAAGAAGAGAGATATAGATTAGCTGTTAGGAAGAAATTCTTTACTTGGAGAGTAATGAGCCACAGGAAGAGGGAGAAGTAGGCAGAGAACTTGCGGATGTCCCATTCCTGAAAGTGTTCAAGGCCAGACTGGATGAGGCTTTGAACAATCTGGTTTACTAGAAGGTGTCTCTGCCCATAACAAGAAGGAAGGTTGGAAAGAACCTTTAAGATCATCTCCTTCCAATCCAAACCATTCTGTCATTCTGTGATGATTCTATGATGCAAAGAGAGAGAAAGAAAGAAATTACAATCAGAAATGTTTACATATGCTTGTGCTTTTGAGTTTTAACCCACAGATTTATAAAGTCTGTAATAATCACAAAACATTTGGGTTTAAAAGACCTCCTTCTAGGCTCCAAGCAATGTAACTGTCCTGTTGGCCTCATGGTTTTTTGTGATTTTTTAAAAATCTTCTTATGTCAGGTTTCCAAGAATCATTTTCCTTCCAAAACTACTATTCCTCACCTGAAAAATTCCCTTAAAAAACACTCAGAAAAGACATTTGGAGACAGTTGCGTATAAATGACCTCTTTATTCTAAAGCTGTATTATCAAACATCAGAAAAAGCACAGAAAACAAAGTGTTAGGAAAGAAATGGAGGAGGGGAAAACCACAAAAGAAAACTTATTTCATGGTTAACCTTGTAATTGAATGGAAAAAGTGTCTTTCCATGTGACACAATTGGTTAGTATATGGTTACAAGGCCGTATCATTTCTTGCCCATATTATAAAAGTCACATTTACAGCATAGGAAAATGCTGTTGTTTTGAATTACCCTCTTATCTTCAAATTTGATTTTAGGGAAGTTTAAAGGGCTATACAATTTGCTTGAGGATTTTTTGTTTTGTTTAGAAAATGCAAAATTCAGGGGGAAATGTAAATTTTGGCAGTCTTGCCTAAGCTTGAACTCTGCCTTACAGTGAAACTGGAAAGTGGTCTTTTACCACCTCTTCTGCAAACAAAACTCGGTTATTTCCAATCCTTTTATTTCTCAGTCCTGTTAAACTGTCTAGGATTTCTTCACTACTGCAAAAGTGCCTGTGGAAAAACAGTAAAATAATATTTATTTTTTGAAACTACCAGTGTAAATAATACTTTAAAAATGTATTTGCTTCCTCTTTTTTTTTTTTTTCAAATATAGTCAAAGTCTAATAAGTCACTTGGAAACTGAGGAAGTATTAGAAAGGAATAATAATCTTACAGGATTCAATTTCAGGAAATATCATCTTTAGTTTTAAAGATCTTCCCAAATTGATTCAACTATATTTTATCCATACCATACTTTGGATTGATTGTCCTTAAGCATTTAGCTAGTGTCTGATCATTAGAAAAGTGTTCATAAAGAGTTGCCAGAGTAAAATTTTGACAAATAAACACAAAGTTGTTCTTAGACAAGTACAAAAATGTACTTTTCTATTTTCATTTCTTTAGAAATTGACTTCACCTGAATAGCAGTATATGCAAAAACATTAAATGGAAGCTGGAAAATAGAGTATGCCTCTTATATTGAATGGTACTGTGGGATTATATGGAATTCAATAAATATGTGTGTAATAGTTTTCATCTTTTTGTTTAGCTTTCATAGCAAAATGTAACTGGTTATTTATTTTTTGCCTCAGAATACAATGGAGTTATAGATTATCTGCAGAAAGTGAAGGAGGATTTGACAAATACAATCTTACACCTTCAAGAAGCAGAAAACAAATTTTATGACAAGAGCTGCAGCCACGATGGTGATTGTCAGAACCAGACTGGTGAAAATGTTTTTGGACAAACAGATGTGCATTGTTCGGAAGGAGAAGCAACAGAACCTGTGCAAGCATCTTCCAGTTCCAGTCAGCAATTCCAAAGAACTCCTACTCTGAACAAGCCAGAAAGTCAAAATGGTAATCAAACCCACACAAGTAAAATTAAAACTGCAGGAAAAATTGCATCCTTAGCTGTAAACAAATCTGCCCAAGAAGAGGACACTATTACTGAAAAGCCTCCAGAACTGGCTTTTCAGGATGCTCTTACAAGCAGTGAGGAAGACATTCTTTCTGGGTCATTGAAGGACATTCATGACAGAAGCATCACAAATAATTTTGAACAGGAAAAAAAGGAAGTAGTCATGGACAATTTAAAAGTGCTAGAAAGTGAAGACCACAAACTGACAGAGAAAATGGAAGACAGTAAAATGGAAAAAAATAATGATATTTTTAGAAATTACTTAAGTACCTTCACACCTTCAGCACAAACCTGTGATCTTCCTGATGTGAATCCTTCTATGAGTGATTCAGAAGAAGTACAAAAATCTAGATACTGGATGGACAAAGAGTGAGCACATATTCTTCCTTTTTTTAAGAACAGATGTACATAATTATTGCTTATTAACTTATAAAAGTGTGAGTGCAGAAACTCAATACACATGTACTGAACAGATGCTGGTTTGCACATAAATAGCAGTTTACAATTTGAATACACACAATGAAGATCTTTCCCTTTGGTCTAAAGTAAACCCAAAGTTTCTATTTGCATAATTTTATTTTTATGCCAGAGAAGGACTGAGTCACAGCCAGAAAAGTCAATAATCCTCAAGTTGTTGGAAATTAGTAGGAAAGAACCGCCATTCATCAGTTTTACAGTAATTTATAAGCTCTTCTGAAACAGGCTAAACAGAAAATTTTTTATAATTTTCTCATTTTTATAATTTCTCATTCTTAAAATTTTTTTTCTGCATTGTATTCTTATGCTTTATTTTAGCACATAATTACATTGAAGTATTTAATTAAAAATACAAGATGCTACCCCACTCAAAATACAAATAATTTTTTTTAATAGATTTCTGGTCAAAGGGAGTGGAAAAAACCCCCAGGAAATAGCCTGTTTTATTAAAGCCCCTGCAACTGTTCTGGAGAATCTGAAGTGTAATATACTCAATTACTCTAGTTCCTTGGTGGTGGACGATTCTGAGGAGCTGGTCAGCAATGTCATCAGTATTGAATGTTATGATTATGAAAAACTACTTTTCCCTATCAACATTGCAATTCCATTTATATCATGCTTCAGAGGAAATTATCGGGAGATTATGGTTAAGGTGACAGATACCAACTTCCAATCAAACTACTTAACTCCTATTTCTTTTCAAAGATACCAAGGAAACCATAAGGTGAGTAACTCTCATCAAAGCTTGCAAAAGCATTGTCTGAGATTCCCAGTTAAGTCTCTGGAGTTTTTCAAGTAGAGTTGTCATTATTAAATTATACTGCCCACTATGTGTGGTTAAACAGAACTTTTCTTTCTACTCTCTCAAGCACTATTTGAAAATTAGTATTTTATTACAATCTTTTTTTCACTTACAGTGTTAAGCAAATGCTTGATCCCACAATACTAATGGTTGAGAAATATTTCATAATTATTGTAAATAAGTGCAATGCATTGCATTGTTTGATAAAAGTAAAATTTAGGGGGAATAACTGTCCTTTTAGATCACAACAGAGTAACACAGTTCCATGAGTATAAATAAGTACAAACTCTATATCAAATGAACACAGGATTGTTCCCTTTTTTTAAATGCAGAAGTGTTGTATTGGACCAGATTCATCACCCAGTTTCTAAGTCTATTTCATTTCACTCCAATCATACACTGGAATATGAATAACCTCACATGATGACTAGAGATCAGGTACTTGGGCATACAGGTAGTAATAATATTCAATTTATTTTCATTTCAAACTTTGCTCTATAGAGAATGTTGCCTTCTCAAACTGTAAAACACAGTTTCCTTTTCCAATACTCTAACCTCACTTTCTCTTTATTCAGGAAAGCTTTGCAGAAGTGAAAATTTATCATCTGGGTGTTTTTTCTGTGTTGTCATGCTTAAAGAAGGAAACATTTACTGTTCCAAAGGTAGGACTCTTGCAAAAGCTGAACATGGATTCTAGAATCTCTTTCTGTTACCATCCAGAAGCATTCAGTTCTCCAGCACCTATGCAGTTAAAGGTAACCTTGAAATACATGATATTTGTTCCATAAACCTGTTATCTGATCAGCTCTGAAGTGAGTATGCTAATGATGTTAAAGTGCAATCTCTTCCAATATCAGAAGTCTACGAACAGTGGTTGCAGCTTCACATCCTGTACATGCAGATTTCCTGTTAGCTTTGTTAAAACCACATGTCAGGGATATCTTTAGCTAAAAAATATCTATCTACGTTTGTTTGTTATGGTTCATAAAATATAGTCATTTTCAATATAGATATGTCATCTCAAAACTTTAATTGCTTGGCCCAATGGTCAAGTTAATGGAACCATTTCTCTCACCTGACTCATTTCTCTCACCATTTCTGTCCTTGGTGCCAGCAAGTGCAACCAAAGGTTTTTATCATGTATTAGTCTTAGGCTGAGTATAGTCTCAGTTTGTTATATTTATCACTTTCCCCATTAAGATGTTAATTTGGAAGTATGGAGAAACTAAAATTATGAAAAAATACAGATTAGAAAAAATGTCAGAAAGTTTTCAAAATCTGAGGAAGCTCATGAGTTTCAAAACTTGAACTCACATCAGGAACAAAACAATATAAATATTTTAGGCAATATAAGTTCCAGTTTTTGATGACTTCCAAGCATTTTTCTGAGCTATGTATAAAGTGCTGTTACTTGGGTAAGGTTCTTTTTGGGTTCAAGAGAGGATAGCCTAGCCAACTCCAAAAGATAAACCAATTCCTTAAAAAGTCCAGGTATGTAATGGAAGATTTATTTTTTGCAAGTTGATTGTACAATTTCTTTCTATATTTAGATTCAGCCAATTGAGCCATCATTGGTTTCAGCATTGAAAGCAAGACATGATATGTATCACTCAGTGATATCTACTAGTGCACTGGTTCATGTCCAGCACCCTTCAGCCCAACCTTTTAACAGCTCAGTCACTATTACTCTACCCTGTCCTCCCAACCCAGACAAAAAAAGGCAAGGAGATGAGACAGAACATGCAAGAGCCATTAGTGCTACAGTAAAGAGGGTTGGTGCAGCATACTATACTAGGTAAGAGCCTCACTTCAAATTCACCACTTTTTAAAACATCAAAATCAATGAATTTTAATAATTGTAGTATTTTCTTGTAGTAAAAAATGTATTTGTTCTTTAATATAGACTGCAATACCTATGAGCTTTTTTAGAAACACTAGAGCAAACCCTCAAAATTTTCATGCTATAGTTTCACCAGAAAAATTAATACAGTATTTCATGGTTATTCTTTAAATATGCTGACCACTACATTTCTGGCAGGCGTCAGAATGAAGACTTAAGGTCTTTTCACCAATAAATATTCAGGCATTTTCACCAAAGTCAAAAATTGAACACAAAGAATAGACATGACTTAAAGCTGCTCTGTTCATAACACACCAAGTTGATTTGAGTCTCATTTCTACTTCTACACATTCCAATAGTTGCCTGAATCAAAATGCATGGCACAATGGTTCATGGTAGGTCAGTTTTATGCACTAAACAAAAGTCCAGATTTTTCCGAAGTATGCAGTACAATATTTCTAAAACTTAGTCTTTTTGACATGTCTTTGAAAAGCATTAAAACATAGAGACTCCTGGGAAAAAAAAAAAATATGTTTCAGCAGTTTATGCAAAATTGAAGAAAAATCCCTAAATAATTTTATCATTCACATACTCTGGAGTATCTTTCCAGATACAGATTTTAAGCAAGGTCTATAAACCAGAAAAAGTCATCAAGGACAGCAGAGGGGAAAACGGCTACAAACACAAGGTTACTCTTTCTGCAGAACTATTTTAATGTTATTTTTTCTGTAATTATCTGGCTTTCCAGGGCTGTGAGCACTTCTGTGAGAAGAAGTGGGGACAATCTCAGTGAAACTTTGAAATTATTAGGTCATGGAAACAAAAAAGAGGGGTGGAAGGTGTTTGATGATGTTATTATCCAGAATGCACAGAATGGGCTTGTATATTTTGAAATAAATGAGCATTTAGAAAGGTAATGTATGAATAATTTAACAAAATTTTATTTATTAAAATATTTAGTTCCATGCTTACAAATAAGTGGAAACTAGTAGTGTTAAGAAATCATCAATTTTTAACCATTAACTTGCTCCTAGAGTTGTTGCTCATAATTAAAAAAACCCTAACTTTTTCATTTATAGAATGTACACAATGTAGTACATGGAAACTTGAAACAGGAAATGCAGATATCAATCTTAATTGGCAAATGTGATTTAGTTCTCTAACTAAAAAAACATTTTGTTTAATTCTTATTATGAAATATTATCTTACTTTCATGTAAAATTAATATGTATTTTAAATCATACCTACATAGTCTCGTACTCTACACTACAAACACAAGCAAATTTCCACCTCTTCATGTGTTGAAAACAAGGATGAAAATAAGGTAGCAAAAGTTCCTTTGGAAACTGAGCCCCATATTATTTTTAAGAATAAATTATTAGTTGATAAATTATTTTAAATAAAGCAGTTTAATTTAATTTTTTTTCTTTCTTTTTTTTCTTTTTTTCATAATACAGCTTTGTGGTCATCCGCCTTGCATTCCCTTTGGAAAACAGGTATCTTCTCCTCTTTGCTCAGGCTCTGGAAGAAGCTCTCCGTAGCACGATGGCTAATGTGATACTGTATCAGAAAAGAGAAGACCCATACAAAATAGTAGTTTTGCTGTCTGCATCCAGAGAATTGACCAATGAACTTCAAAATCTCCATGAGGAGGGTTATTTTGGTCCCCCAGAACCTACACAACAGTTCCCATTAAGACAAGGAGAGCAGATTCATTTTATATTTAGAGGAAATATTTATGCTTCAGGTAAGGGAATTGATTAATGCATCTGTATGGGAACACATGTAGATTGAAGTTACTCACAGTACATTTAGTTATTTCAGTGTTTTGTTTCTTGTCAAAGAAAGGAATGTGGAGCTTAATAGGAAATTGCTCCAACTGTAAAGAAAATGTACTACCTGAACATGCTCCTGAGTAATGGTGACCCTGCTTTGAGCAGGACGGTTGGACAAGATATCTTTAGCAATCTCTTAAACCCCTGTGAATTCTGTAAAATCTGGTTCCTCAGAAACACATGGTATTTTAAGAATTATTTTAACAGGACAGGTTTCTGTCTGCTGTTTTGTTTGAGTAAATTCACTTTGAGCAAGAAACCAAGGCAAAATATTGCCTGATGTGAGTTGCACTGTGAATTGAGGTGATGAGAGAGAGTTATGCCATTTCTGTTAGGAGCCTAGAAAAGAGCCTAGAAAATTCCAGGTCATGGCTGCCACCATTCAATCTTGCTTAAAGGGAAAAGAGATAAGAAGCCTCTGAAAGGTTTTCACCCTAAATTGCATATAGTCTCTTCTGTCTTAGAATGAACGTATAAATATGTATTTGGTGCTCTGAACATTTTGTACATAAACTCTCTCATTGAAAACTGCATGTACCCTAAAGAAAGGAATATTCTTCAACAAGAGAAGTCTCCAGCCCATGAGAAATGGGCTGCTCATATATACAAAGGACAGTGTCTATAGATGTATCAAATAAATAGATTTAGAAAACCTAAAAATGCATCTACCCCTCTGCTCCCATTCATTTTGTTGCTACAGATAGACATCCATCCTGAATAACCAGAAAGCATATACTTCTAATTCCATTCACAGCACCCCTTTATTTTTATTCTTCTCTATATTATGTATATATCTCCTTTTCTATTCCTTTATTTTCAACTTTTAACACTGCTTTCAGCACTTCCTCTTTAGGCCAGCTATTAAATGGCTAAGAAAGCCAGCTACAAAGATAGGCCTACTACTGAAGCAGGCTGAACTCAGATGTTCAATAAAGTAATAATAATGATAAAGAACATAATTACTTTTATTTGACTTATGCTAATAAATCATTTTTAGATGCCATGCAACTGAATGCAGGGTAAAAAAAAAAATTAAAATTTTATTATATGGACTGCAGAGAATGGAGAAGACTTCAGGAAAGTCTACAGACTGATTTTTCATTCACAAAGACAGCCAAGGCTGGAGCACCAAATCAAGGAAGTGGATGAATTTGGTAACCACAGTTCACCTCATTACAAAGGAACAGCAGTGTTTTATAAAATTACCAAAGAGATGATACCAAAGAAATGGGAACAAACCTTACCCTATGATGAATATCAACACCAGTATCCACTGTGCAAATTAGCATTAACATTGCCAAAGGTGCGTTTCTCACTCAATAATATTAGAGACATTTCCCTTTTTGCCTTACCATATATTTATTAGAAAAAGGATCTTGGTATGATTTTTGATTTACAGATTAACACAGCAGTCACTGATGGACTTCTGGAGCATCATCAATGTGCAAACATTCTCAGAATTTCTCTTAGCTGTAGGGAGGGACTCATATCCAAGTATAAGAATGGAGAAATTTCTAGCAGAAAATTTTCACCCATCTACTCCCCCCAGCTGGAAGGGAGAAATTATTATGATATTGTGAATTATTACTGAAGTTTCAGGTGTATCATTCTTGTTTCATTATCTTGGGAGCACAGAATTGCAAATTTTAGGATCATTAAATGGTTTGTGTAACCTGTCTTTCACCTATCACCTGATTATTCTGTTATTGCTGATTAGCCTCTGCAGTACAGTTACATGGGCAATTATCTCCATCTCTGGTGAAAGCTAATGCTATATAAATTAATCGTTAATATTCCTGCAATGAAATCTCATTGTAAACTTTTCAAAGAGCCTGTGTGCCAGCACACTATACTGCACAAAGTGCTGCCACTAAACTGCTGCTATCAAAGTTGCCTACATTGTAATATCAAAATATCTACAGAAACAGTCTAAATCTCTGATGACAAACAGTAGCATTTTTCTCTTTTTGAATTTGACTTCACACTTTTCTCATTTTTTTTCCAGATAGTTAAAAGAATCTGGAATGTCTGGTTTTGGCTGTGACAAAGACAGATGGAATCTTTTTAAGGCAACCATTCTGATACTACATTTTCACTAATTTCTGTAAAATTCCCATCTAAATTTCTTCTGTAAAGAAGGCAGTAACTGTACAATCATAAGGCGTTTCATATATGTATATGCCCTCATTATCCACTTACAAATATATTGTTGACAGTGGTGAAAATAGTGTTTGTTTACTTTGCAAATATTCACATCAGTTTTTACTTTAAACAGAAGTAATCTGATTTTCATAGATGATTCCTATTTATGGTGCTTTCCTTTCCCCAGCAACAGAAAATACCCGTTCCTCTAACCTATTTTGTTCAACACAAGTCAGATACAGTGCATTAAGTTTTGATGTCAAGTATGTGTGTGTATGTCTACTGATTTCAAAGATTTTGTATTTATGCAACACAGTAGGTTAAGGAGGTAAAAGATTATTTTTTCCTTTTCTGTTCTGTTTGATATGCTGCTAGAGTCTGGTCATGTCTGAGGATTTGACAGAGCACATCAATGTTACTTGCTGGGAATGCTTTGCAAAAATAGATTGTTGTAATGCATATAGACATTATGAAATTACTATTCTGCTGAAGTTTTATGTCTAATGTCTGTCTATCAACAGAATAGCACGTTATTCCCTGTTTCAGAAAGCCAGTTGCATGGCTAATTGAAGGGCCTTCCAGACTAGAAAACTGCTTTGACTGCTAAGAGTATTTTACTTAAGCTGTCAACCAGAACAGCAGGAACACATGCCAGTGCAGCTGAACCGTGGGTGAATTTAGCACTTCACCACAGACACTTAATCTTTAAAGGCAATTTACTGTTGTAGATCTAATGCATTGTATAATATTACACTATTTTTAGAGAATACTAATTTTCAATTCTATAATTTTTACTACTATTTTAACATTAAGTAGCATAAAGTGGTTCAGATTAAAGTCAATGCATGGATAATTGAGTTCATTTACAGTAACTCTGAAAATCTAAAACAGACCTTTGAGGTGGTAAATTCTCATTAATGATTGAAAATAAGTTTAAATACAAATGCATCATTAAACAAAGCCAGAGAAAGCTGTCTTGGAAGAAAAGCAATGCCCCCTTCTGGAAGAGCTCTATATTCCTTTTATTCTGAGAGCTTTTTAGCCGTGTCATTCTATCTTCACACTGGGACACATCCAATGACAGAATTGCTGTAGAAGCATGCAGAACGAGGCAGATTCAGATCATAGAATCAGGGAACAATTTGGGTTGGAAGGGTCCTTTAAAGGTCACCTAGTCTACCTTCCAAGGTCTCCAGAACAGTACAGCACAGGATGGTTTTGCACTGCCATGCAGCATGTAATGTGTGCATCCTGTGCACACTAAATCACCTCACAGACAACTGCATACAGGCCTGATGAAAAGTTGTTTAATTCAAAATAGGCAATAGTTATGAATATATTGACTTTGTAGCTGTGCAGCTCAGTACATTTGAGACATTCCAAATATTGGACATTTTTAAAGACTGCATTATAGAAGTGATTAAGATAAGCTCCATAATGCTTAATATATAAGAAAGAAAAGAATTACTTTTCCAGTCAGAGTTTCATGCTCTTAATTCCCAAATAAAAAACAGAAGATCAGTGAATAAACTTCAGGCAATTTCTTTGGGAGAGATGTGAATAAACACCCAGATAATACAACTGAATGTGTGTGACAAAAGTAACATGGGTATTGAAAGAGGATAATTTCATTTTTGAACAAAAAAAATTCTGAATTTCACTTAATACAAACTAATCTCTTTTTCTTCTCAGTGCTTATATAAGTAATTTCTTGTTCTATATGCAATAGGAAACAACACTAAAGCCCAGAAGACTTTCATCTTTCTCAGACATAGGTAAAACAGGACAAAGTATTTTTTCTTTCTCTACAATGTTTAGAGGAAGAAAGAGGAAAAACTTTCTACTTTTTAATGGAACTTATCTTTTGAATTTTGATGATTTTTCATGATGATTTACTGAAAGCTATGTAAAATGAGTAACTATAGCTACAAATACAACGTGGTTACCTGCTCTAACAATAGCTAGTGCATACCTAAAAATAGTTCTTTTCCTTGAAAGGAAGACAAAGTTAATGCAGTATTCAAAATTAGAATCTGTAGTATCTACAAAGGTTCTATACATTTATGGCATAATGCTATTAATCAAACATTTGTAACACTGCATGAAGGATGAAATTTTTATAAGAGACATTATACTCCCATTTGATAGATTAAAATTTTATTAATTTATTTTAATACCTATATACTGTTTTATACCTGCTGCTGGTGTTAATTGGTTTTAAATAATAACAAAAATATTCTATGTAAGTAGAACAAATTTTAAATGCTAAGAGTTAAATCCCCAAGATTTTACTGCAATCCACTCCCAAATCATATGCCTCACCTCTTACTCATCATCATTTCTCCTTCCTCAACACATTTTCTTCAATAGCATGAAAAATTGATCCACCATCCACGAAGTACAAAAAGAATTTTTTCTGATTCATCAGGTAAGAAAACAACCACTAAATTAATATCAATATAAAAAAGGCTTATGCTTGCAATTTTTTTTTTAATTTCAGAGTTTGTTTCAGCTGTTACTGACACTTTAAAATGCTATATTCAGAAAGGAAATAGTTAATGTGTTAAGAGGTAATCAAGGGAAAAGTGATCTTTTTACCAGGAAATGCAACAGCTCTTGTAAGATACTGTTGTGGTGGGATGCTTTAACAGCAAATAATTTTGTGTATAAGGAAATCCAGTTTGTACTGGAAAGCTCCAATATAATTGATGAATCCGTTGCAGTACATACTAAAACCCTTTTATTTTATTGCTAATTTTCCCCACTCACTTCCAAAGATTATAGATCATTGCTGAATCTGCTCTTGACTAAATTCAATTCATACTGCAGAGCAGTTACCAAAAATGGCACTGGAAATAAGATGGAATGATGTTTCCACCAAAGTATAAAACACCTCCTATTTAGCTGGGGAGTTTACCCACTGAACTGCCAGCTTTTAAAAGGTTTTTTAAAAAAAAAGTAAGATTTATTCTTACTTCACTAATTTTTGCCCTTCAGAGGCCCTGTGGGACAAGTTGCTGTTCTGGCTTGCAGAAGAGCTTGCAGAAGATAATACATCATTGTTTGCTTTATGTTTACCTGTTCGACGGAGCGTGCTTCAGCTTGTTAGCCTGAAGTGCCCTGATAATTTAACACACCAGATCTATGAGCTGCTTTGCTGCTGGAATAAGACTCTTCCAAAGTCGGCTGATAAACAGCAGCTCTTGTCTCGCTATTTGCAGAAGAGTGGCAGAAGTGATCTTTCAGAAGAACTTCGTTTAAAGTGGCAAAATAAGGTGTTCACCTGACAGAATCACTGGCAACTCACAGCCCAATTTATCTTCTTTCCTGTTGAAGTGTATGAATATTTCCATGAAACTCTAGATGAACAAGTGACAGGGATATCATTCAGGAGAAGACTATTTGTTACTTTGCAACCACTTTACTAAAGCAAAGTGTAATAGCCATGTCCTTGCTTGATAAAAGTGAGCACTTCTTATATGGAAAAATCAGATATTAAAAATATAGGTATGAATAATTACAGACTCATCTGCATGGATTTCTAAGAACTATAACTCTTTGCACATGTCATACGCAGTCAACACAATATTTCTACATATCTTAAACATTAGAAATTATTCATTATATCAAAATCATATGAATAATTTCATAATATATGGGTTACTCTATGTCCAGTTTTAATAACTACCAAATTCTTCAGATTATAGCCTAATGTACAGACAGAGGTAACTTCTTACTTTCAGATTTGTTAGTAATTAATTCTGCTTTTATATTCTCCATTAATATTTTTCATCCTTGTGAATATCATACAATTTTTCACTGTTAGGTCATGTGAATATGAAATCTCTTTCCTGAATTTAAGAGATTTTTTTCCTCACTTTAAACTGTCATTTTAATGGAGTCTTTTAGGTTACCATCTAATACAGAAAAAGAACTATTTCTTCATAAAAATTCTAAAATGTATGGCTTTGACATTTTATTTGTTATACTAAGTTCTTGAAGGTATAGATAGTAAACCATAAGTATTTGTGTCATTCCTTATTCATGTTTTCAATCTGTAAAAACTCCTTTATTTCCAAAATGCTTAGTAGGACTAATCTGATTTTTAAGTCAGAGCAAGAGTAAAGTTGGTCTTCTCTAATGGTGTTTCTACTGAAACAATATTTAATTTACCATCTTCAGTTATCCTCCTCATAAAATACACCAAACATTTACCTAAACACTAAAATTGATTTCTGTTAAAGGAAAAAAGTAGCTGGCAAGACTCAGTGAAGAAGACTTCTGAGAGCAAGATTCCTTGGTACTTACTCAAATTGTGATTACACAGGCTGTCACATCTGTGTGACTTCCCTACTGCTTCAGAAATGTGTGACAGATGCCTCTTTCTTCAAATCCACCTGTGCACAATTAATTACTGTTATTCTTCTAATACCTATTCAATGCACCAATTATTTTCCTTTTTCATCTCTCCTTTAATCATATAATATAAAATCTAAATATTAATTTCAATCAAAACATTATTGGTCCAAAATTAATTAATTTTTAGGCTATTGAGAAAACCTGTATGTCTTGCTGGCAAAATTTAATTGTGATACATAGTCTGTGTATTTTATTTATGGAGGACGTATATTTGCAACATTTACAAATTGCTACTGTAAATGAGAAAATTGCATGGTAAAAGGAAAGATAAATAGGAATAGTATTAATTAGTTTTATTCCTCTAGTCACTAATGTCTCATCTTATGTTATTATCAGTTTTTAGATGTAAGACAAATCTATGAGTAATTTAACCCCTTCTCTGAGAATGAAACATAACAACCATCCTTTTTTTTTTTTTTTTTTTTTTTTTTTTTTTTTTTTTTTTTTTTTTTTTTTTTTTTTTTTTAATAAAGAGGGTTTTTTACCTATAAAAGGAAAGAATTATTATAGGAAAGAATTATCACCGTTTTCCCAATGCTGAACACTTTTTGCCATCAAGCACTTGTCATAAAGACTAAATATTCACTTGCTAACTTATCAGATATCTTCAGTTAGGATCATGGTTCAGTGCATGATGGTACAACAAACAATAATGGAAATATTGCTAAAAATCTGACTTCATTTCTCCACTAAAATTAAAACTGTTTTATACAACTTCCAACATTCTACCACGAGATGGCATCTTTGTCTAACAAAAAATACATGCATATAGTATCATTTATTATGCCAGTCATAGGCTGATATGGTTCAAGTATTCATGTGGAAAGTCCAATTTCTTAACTACTGTCAACACTGATCTTTGCTTTTCAGGCAATCAGATATTGTCTCCTAAATGAAAGGGCTCCCTTAGTGAGATTTAAACTCTGAAGTGCAGACAAAATGTGGAAAAGAATGAGAACTGCATGGGATAAATCTACTTCTGTGCTATGTGTTTTTATTGACTATAAAACAACATGGACGACAAAAAGCAATACATAAACTTTATGGCTTCGAATGTGTATGTTTTTAACTCTAAAGAAAAGATGAAATTCTGCATTTCTGCTAAACAGTGAAGGCAACTGAAAGGAAAAAAGAGCTAAGAAAGGAAGCCAGTTGCTCAGAAAGAAATCACCTAGACAACTATAATTTGGCTAACTGAAGACAGCAGTTCAATATTTAAGTACTGAACAGTAAGTCAAATAAAAAAGGCAGGAAAACAAATATTCTTTTTGTTACATTGTTACAGGATGGATTGCCAACCGCATCTGAGATAATGAAGTGCAAAGGCATAAAGCAGACTTTGCCTATTCAACATTTAGAACATGAAGCCTCTACTTAGTGAAATAGGACTCAATGAGCAGGGTCAATAAACTGATTAATACAACAGATGTTTAATTAAAAAACTGAAGATGCTATTTAATCAGTATCCCATGCAAGCCCCTTTCAAAAATGAGTCCTTTTTTTTCTTTAGATAGCCTTCAGTAAGTGCTGTTTGCACAGAACTATCTATAGTGAAGTCATCTTCAAGCACAAGAGTCTCAATTTAAAAGCTTCTCCAAAATAAACTGGGAGGGAGCCTACATGCAGAGCAGTTTGGTGGGAGAGCTGGAGAAAAGGCTCCTTCCAGCTTTCACAACAGCTCATTTCAGTGAGCAGGTCTTCAAATGCAGTGAGATAAACCCCTGAAAAGGCAGAGGGACTCAGGAAAGTGGCATAAAATCGCTCAGTTGAAATCTTTCCCTCCTTTCCGTAATATCTCTGCACTTTACCTGAAGACACAACAAGAAGTCCTTGAGCACCTCCAATACAATCAGAAAATCTGTCAACCAAAGAAATGCAATATTCACAATTCCTTAGAAAAAATTTAATTTTCTCATATACTGTTAGAGATGAGCAAAAGACTTATTATGGCTTAAAAATCTAACGTGATATTATAATAAATCATAGTAAAGTTCACAAGAATAGAAAAGCAGAGTTCATGTTCCACCCTTTCCCCTGAAAAATAAAAATGTCATAAACATAAGAGAAATTATTCTATAATAATGCATGTGTAAGACTTTGTTCTTATCTCTAGTCTATGTGAAAGATAAGATTTAATCATCGCTATTGTAACCCTATTTGTAGTCTTTTAAAAAATTCGTATACTCGCAAACTCTTCATTATATATATAATTTCTTTATTTCACAGTGGGTATAACCCCTTGACAGAAGATTTTTCAAAGCATTGTATGAAGTCTTACATGTGTACATCTCACTCACCTTTTTCTGGCCTTTAAACACCTACCACACCATTGTTCTTTTGTGCTGTAGCTTCCCAAGTGGGAAAAAACAGTGCGTCTTCAACTTCTTTTTATATTTAAAAATCCATACATAACCTTTTTCATCATTATACTCTATTTAGAAGTCAAATTTGGATGGTATGACTTCCAGAAATATCCTTTTGTCAGATTATGGCCCAAGCAGACTAATTATTTATCAGAAATTGAATTGAAAGAGTTTAATAGAACTGGAAGGACTCCAGCCAGTATTAATATTACTATGTGGCACTTTCAAACTGCAAGTGCCAATTCAGCCAGCAGATATTGCAGAAGAGCTTCTACAAAGATACTATTTTCTGTATTCTCAGATCTAAAAGTAGTATGTAAAAAGTCATTTCACTAGGACAATGAAAGAGAAACTCTTGAAAGACTGTACATTATTCCCTTGTCTCTTAATGTGTTACTCCATTTTAGAGTATTTTGAAATCAAGGGATGCAAATAATTCAAGATGCAGATATTAAGCAATCAGAAATAGGAAATTTTCATTCTATTAACACTAATATTTTGTTAAAATCAGTGTCCATGCCTGAAGAATTAAGTAAATTAATAAAAATAGTTTGAAGGGATAAAAAAGTTTGAAGTGCTAGAGAGTCAAATGTGTAAAAATATTTTGGAGTGTTCTACTTCTAAAAGAAAGATTAAATTATTTTAAAATTAGGAAACTTGCAATAAAATTAGAAGACCTTAATTTTCTACATAATTCCAAAGATTTTAAGAAACTACTAAACTTATTTGAGGTAAGTGAATAATTACTAATGAAGGGAGCCAATTTATGTTCTCTGAATTTCTCTTAGGAATTTTTTATTAAATGTCATTTCTCATACAACACAAGATGCTGCAAAAAATCAAGATGTTTACTGCAAATATTTGAAAATAAATAAATTAAGCTGATACAATAACTGATTTGATAATACTTATAAAACTAAATTCAAATGGAGAATACTTAAGGTCATGTCTGTTTACACACAGAGAAACTCCTAAAACTCTAGATTTTTTGTCAGGCTGGAGGAAAAACAGTGAAAGCATCCTGCTATTTTTTTTTAAACTACATAAACAATTTTCAAAATGTTCCAAAAGCAAATGTTACCAAGAGGGGTGCATACAGCTGAATAGCTTAGAACTAAAGAGGGAAGACAAGGTAAAACTACATTGACTTGACATGTAAAGTCAGCTAAGCTCATGTGGGTTTACTCAACCATTTCTACCCCATTTATTTTGCCCTCAAGCCTTGGTTTGGAGTCTTTTTAATTCACTGGTTACATACAATATAAGTGCTGTGAGCTTTAATCAAGAACTTCACATGTTTATCATAATTGCTGTTCAAATATAAATAAAATCCCAGTAATAATAAATACTCAGAAAATATTTCTAAGAGGCTAGAAGAGGTTGAGGAGACATCCTCTGCAGCATGGTGCATGGTTTTGCTCATCTATTTTCAAACAGATTGTATTTAAAGTACCAAATCTTTGCTGAGCCCTTCTGCAGAGATGGAATAAGTAAAAGAGCAGAGA